AAGAAAGAAAGAAAGAAAGAAAGAAAAGGGAAGGAAGGAAGGAAGGAAGGAAGGAAGGAAGGAAGAAAGAAAGAAAGAAAGAAAGAAAGAAAGAAAGAAAGAAAGAAAGAAAGAAAGAAAGAAAGAAAGAAAGGCTAGCCACATTTATTTTAAAAAGAAAAGTCGCAGGAGACATTCAACCCCTTAATAATGCCTTTTCAGCAGCAGCGCCTGGTATGCTGGATTTTTTTTTTTTAAAACAACAACAACGACAATAATAACAACAATTAGAGTCCGATGCAACCTATCCCGAAGATAGATAGATAGATAGATAGATAGATAGATAGATAGATAGATAACGAGAGAGAGAGAGAGCGAGCGAGAGCGAGCGCATGGCGCAATAGTTGCATTTAAAAATAAAAATAAAAATAAAAAATTAAAGCATGCCCCGTTTTCAAAATAAAAAATAAAAAAAATCAGCCATGCATCTTTGCCTAAAAAACAAATGCAAACGGCTCGCGCCCGTTTGCAAAGAAGCCAGCAAACCAATGAGCAAATAAATAAATAAAATAAATCGGGCAAGGAGAAGGGCGGGGTAAAAATCCAATAAATAAGTAAATAAGTAAATAAATAAAAAGTAAATAAACTTTTTTTTTTTTAAAAAGGAAGTTTAAGATAGTTCGGGGGGGGGGGAAGAGGAGGAGGAGGAAAGTCCTACCTGTACCCCTTCCCTTGGCTTCTTCCTTTCCTTCTTTTCCTTCTCTGTCTCCTTCCCTTCTTCTTCTTCTTCTTCTTCTTGCCTTCCGATGCTCAGCCCGGTCCAAGCGGCGGCGACTCCGGGGCTGCCAGCTGACGCCGGGCCCCGCCTGTTCTCCCTCCGGTCCGCCCCCCCTGGGCCCCGCCCGAGTCCGTTTCTTCGTCCCTTTTGCCTCCTTCCCAGAAATCACGTGCTGCGCTTTCCCACGCTGCGCCGACCACCAGAGGGCGACAGAGAGCAGGCGCTTTCTTTCTTTCTTTTTTTCTTTTTAAAAAAGTGGAATATTGTATTCTGTATATGTAGCCATCATCTCTTTTATCTCTTTCATCCGTCTGTCATTTCTGTCATCTTTCTATCATCTGTTTTATCATCTCTGTCTCTATCGTCTCTCATCTTTTTATCATTTATCATTCATCAGTTCATCTGTCTATCCTATAATCCAGTGGTTCTCAACCTTTTTAATGCCGCGACCCCAACCGGTCGTAAGTCGAGGACTAAACCGGTCGTAAGTCGAGGACTAAACCGGTCGTAAGTCGAGGACTACCCAACCGGTCGTAAGTCGAGGACTTTCCTTGCCCGGGAGCGCCGCGCATGCGTGTTTCCGCCCCCTGAGCCAGCCGAGGCATAGCTGGCAAGCGGCAGAGACAGAGCAGGCCGACCACCAGCTGGCCCAGCCCAAGGGATGTAAGGCACCTGCCGGAAAAGGGGGAAAAAATGGCGGACAAAAAAAATGGCGGACAAAAAAATGGCGGACAGCCTTGCTTGGCGACCCCCGTGAAATGGTCGATCGACCCCAAATGGGGTCCCAACCCACAGGTTGAGAACCACTGCTATAATCTATTATCTATCAATGTATTATCATCTGTCTATCCATTATCTATCTTATCTGTCCATCTATTCTGTGCCTATCTGTCTCTATTATCTTATCTGTCCATGTATTCTGCCTGCCTGCCTATCTCTAACTACCCATCTATCCATTATCTCTTATCTATTTATCTTGTCTGTATCTATCCATTATCTTTTAAATATTCTCTAGCCATCTATCTCTATCTGCCCATATATCCATTATCTCTTATCTATCCATCTAGTCTATCCATCTATTATATAGCTTATCTGTCCATCTTGTCTCTCTATCCATCCATCCATCCACCCATATCTATCTATCTATCTATCTATCTATCTATCTATCTATCTATCTATCTATCTATCTATCTATCTATCTATCTATCTATCTATCTACCTTTCATCTGCCTGTTTGCCTGCCTACCTATCTCTACCTATCATCTACCTATTTCTCTCTATCCATATTTCTATCATCTACCTATTTCTACCTACCTCTTATCTTTTTCGTTTATCTGTCTGTCTGCCTGCCTGCCTATCTCTACCTATCATCTACCTATTTCTCTCTATCCATATTTCTATCATCTACCTATTTCTACCTACCTCTTATCTTTTTCGTTTATCTGTCTGTCTGCCTGCCTGCCTATCTCTTATCTCTCATTTATCTGTCTGCCTATCTATCTCTACTTGTCTCTATCATTTACCTATTTCTACCTACCTACCTCTTATCTTTTTCATTTATGACTATCTATCTATCACTTATCTCTCATTTGTCTGTCTGTCTGTCTGCCTGTCTGCCTGTCTCTGCCTGCCTGCCTGTCTAATCCATCCATCCATCCATCCATCCTTATCTTCTCTCTCTATATATATATCATCTTTCTATCTTCTATGTCTGTGTCTGTCTGTCTGTCTGTCTGTCTGTCTGTCTGTCTATCTATCTATCTATCTATCTATCTATCTAATGTCTATCTATATCTATCTATCTGTCTATCTGTCTGTCTATTATCTATCTATCTATCTATCTATCTATCTATCTATCTATCTATCTATCTATCTATCTATCTATCTATCTATCTATCTATCTATCTATCATCTTCCTTCTCTATAATCTATCACATATCTATTATGCCTCTTTCTCATCTCTCTTTCTAACCTCTATTTTATTTATCTTCTTGATGTCCACACATTTTAAAGTGGCCCAGGCTGAGAAAAACACTGCCTTAAAGACTGAAATACTGAAAAATGGAGAAAGCCCAGCTTTCTTCTCTTGGAAGAAATCTGAATTACCATTTTTGGGCAAGCAGAATTTCTAGAGTGATGCCGACATCCCATTCAATAACGGTGTAAGGAAGAAACTTGGGGGAAAATTGCCGTTCTTTGGACAACTGACTTCCTAGAGGTATAAAACATTCAAATCATACAGAAACCCTCCCACTCTTTAGAAGAAAATAGGAAAATGATCCGAAGCCGCCTGTAAGACGTTGCACGTTTCATTTAGAATTTCTCTGCGATGTAGTTGCATCAGGACACGGTTCCTAAGAACCTGTATCGACGAATTCCGAATTCGCAAAAAGTTTTCCACAAATTTGGGAGAAAAGGAAAAAACACCACCCAGAAATTGTTTTCGGTGACGCCTATTTTTGGTCCATGAAAAAAAAAA